AGTCACTCACTTATTAGCAATGTTAAGTTTAGTCTTACATGTATTGTGAGTTGATCTCCCTTAACAAGTACTGCTATCTGGCGAGGCAGTACAGAAATTAAAGCGCCTTTGATTGTGCTACAGAGCAATTAATTGGGCGCTTTGTTTGATTGAGTGTCAACCTGTTCACTCATCTGTCAAACAGGAAAAGTCGTATTTCTTTTAATGTTAAATTTGATAAAAATAGACCATGTATGTTTTAAGTAGACACTACGTTAAGCAATCACAATGAGATGCATTGCAGTGCAATGATATCTTTATTTTAGAGCATCAATTTGGTTTCCTAAACTTTTTAAAAAAAGAAAAATGAATTTTAAAAAGAGTTTGTTTCAACCTTATCTTTAATATAAGAAAATAGAGTAAAAGAAAATTGGACTTGTTAACCTTTGATTGGCATTACAATTTGTACAGTGCAATATAAGTGTAGGTAAATTCCTACTAAGATAAGAGGCATTTATATGCGTGCAAATCAAAATTAAATGACTCAATGGTCACAGAGGAGTTTATTTCTTCAGTTTATTTTACAATTACTCAAACTAGTTGCTCGATGAAAAATTATTAATACGCAGTTTTGTCAAAAAAGTCCTCCGACATATACACATAAGTGCTGGAGACTGTTAATTGAGATTTGTATGAAAGAGAACAGTCACATATTTTAAAATGACATCAATTCAAATAAAAAGTATTTCATCTAGTTTGTTTAAGGTAAAGATCCATACCACGTAAAATAACGTTATGTGACGTTATTCTCGTTTGTGACGTTATTTACGTTATTACGTCAGAACGAACCCGACGTCAATATGGTAGACGTTAATATTACCTACCGTAATAAGAAAGGAAAATTTATTTCGAAAAAACAGGCGGAAAAACTTCGGGATTTAAATAATTTTAATTCAAACCATAATCATTTGTCGGATAATACATTTGACCACAATTATGCCATAAAAACAGAAGTTGAAGAAAATACAGTTAGGCCTAACGTTGATGTTTATGATGACACATCGGTGGCAAGCAAGACTTCATGCCGATCAAACAGTGAAAGAGAATGGACACTTGGACGTAGAGTCGTTGAGCTGGGCAGTTTAGCCGATCAATTGCAGTGTTCGCGATGTGGATCTCTCCTCCATTTAAGGGACATAATAGACGAAACACTGTACGGACTGGCCAGTTTATTCACCGTCATTTGCAGATCATGCAACTCCACCCAAAAAGTTTCCAGTGGGAAGAAAGATGGCTGTGGAGGCTATGAAGTAAATTACAAAGTCGCAATAGGTATGTTAATCAATTGCAAAAGGTGCATATACATGTATCCTACAGGTCACAAACACACAATATCGCCTTTATAATTTTGCACATCTTCCTCACATTCTCAAGACTAACTCTCAAAATAATCCTGTAGGTACAATTTCCGTAATCTGTAGTAAGGGTTAGCCTACAGATTAAATGTCGTTAAGAATTTCCGTTTGTCGATGTGCGCCTTTTTTTGGCCTTGTATTCGTAATTTCATAAACACAACACAGTGAAGTAATTCTATCCACTCCAATATTGAAATAACGTTCTTTGGTTGTCCTTGTATGGCCTACATAGTTTCCATCCACTTCATTATTTCACAAACATAAATGCTGCAAAGAGCACATTACTCCAATATTGATAGAGCTTGAAAGCATAGAACCAAATCGTTATCCAGTGACAAGGTTTTTTTCACGATAAACATTTAGGAAATGACGTCAACAATCAGGGGGCACAATTTTTTTCAAGGGAAATAATAATGTTGTACATCTCCAAGTATCCCCTTTTTTAAAACGTAGAATTTTAACAAATCCATCTTGCAAATTACGAACGAATCACAAATTATTCAAATCTATACTTATTAATTATAGTAGGAACTGTCCATGACTGAGAGAAAGAGAGAGAGAGAATCACTGGTTGCCGTCGGAAGCACATTGAGAGGAGAAGGGGTTGGGGGGGGGGGGGCTAAACGAATTGAAAGACAAAAAATGTCAAACTTGAAAAAAAAAAACAAGTTAAAATAAGGTAACCCTTTTATCGCCACCACTTACCCTTCTCTGTAGTCTGTATACACTGTAAACTGATGAAAGATTTGGGGGGGGGGGGGGGGGGGTGACGAAGCACCAATAATATACGCCTATATAACATATATTAATTCTGCTAAAAAAAAATTGGGATGTCTTTGACAGTCATACGAATTTTTTTTTCTTAATACGACACGTTTTAAAATGAATAAATATCCATTTGTCTGCGTCTGTTTCACTGCCAAAAAAAAAAAAAAAAAGAAGACCTTGACGTGCGTTTCCCAAGGCCTTTGAGGGAGGAGGGTCGACGGAATTCATATTTGACTAGTGTATTCCCTGTGAAAGAAAAAGACTTTTCATTTCGGTACCATCAAATATGACCTATTGAACTTGGGAGTTTGATCCACATTTAAATAAAAAAACACATATATACATACACCACACTTTCACCTTGGCCAGAACTTTTGAATAGTTGTTGCTATTTTAATTTTTTGTTTCTTTTTTTGTGTTGATATGGAAAGATGATACCTCATTCATAACTATTTTTTTTGCAATGTATTATAAAAGGAATTCACAATTCCCGGAACTTTTCGCCAAATAATTTTTAGATTTGTAAAATGCGATGTATAATAACGTTTTCTTTCAAAAATTGAACTAAGCACTTGTTTTATCTAGTATTTTGGGAAAGGTTAATCAGAAGAAATGTCACGGGGAAGGGATGCAAACCCGATAACTGTAGGGGGCACTACGATTTTTTTTTATCAAGCAAATAAGTTGATATGTTATTCTTTATATGACATTTTTGACACAGGCATAAAATACCTAGTTTTGTTTTGACATCATATAATTATATCGGTATAGGGAGGGGGGTCCCTTCTCTATGTTTCCTAAGGCCATAAAAAATAGAAAATTACAAGTCACACAGTGTATGTAGAATAAATTCCTATTCAATTTTTTTTTCGTGTACATGCAACCGGATTTAACTTTTTTTATTAACAGAATAATTTATTTCTGGGCTCAGAATTATGTTGATTACACTGAATTCAGCGTTTCTAAGTTCTTCATGTATAAATAAATATTGCTCAAGTCAGCCGAGGCTTTTAAGAAAGCAATGTGTATGTCTAGTTTTTGTCTGCTAAACTGACCCCAGGTCACTCTATCTAAACAATTAGCTTAAATGTGGCTATTTTCTGCTAAGCGATACATAATTGCATAACTAGATCTTTACAATATATCTCTCAGTGCTGAAGGAAATAAACAAGAATGCCCAGGGGCCACATCGCTCACCTGAACACACCTGCTAGGAAGAAGCACATATCAGATCAGAACTGAAACTAGTCATGGCTTTGAAGTACTCGAGAATATATTTTTAATAAAAGATTTCCATATAAATTCCTAAGTAAAACTTTTATCCGCAATTTTGGCCTCCCCCTCCCCCCAGGGGGTCATTATTTAAACAAACTTGAATCTACACTACCAAAGGATAATTTCGCATGAGTTTCATCTTTCCTGGCCCAGTGTTTCTTGAGAAGATTTTAAAAGTTTTCCTTACATAATCCTATGTAAAACTTTGATCGGCCATTTTGGCACCACCCTATCCCTGAATTTCCTAAATATTTGTATGTACAAATTGGATACCCCATTGTGGCCCACCCTACCCCTTGGGTCATAATTCTAACAACCTTATATCTATACTACCTGAGCATGTTTCCCTACATAATCCTATGTAAAACTCCGATCTTCCGTTTTGGCCCCAGCCTATCCCTGAATTTCCCTAAATATTTGTATGTAAAAATTGGATACCCCATTGTGGCCCACCCTACCCCTGAGGTCTTAATTTTAACAATCTTAAATCTATACTACCTGAGCATGTTTCCATGCAAGTTTCATCTTTCCTGGCCCAGTGGTTCTTGAGAAGATTTAAAAGATTTTTCCTATATACATGTATTCTTAAGTAAAGGGGACAGGAAACAAGAGTATATTTACTTTTGGCCTAATAAAAATTTTAAAAAAATTTTAGAACTTGAACTTAATTCTGTTTACTGAATTGAATCTCTAGAAAACAAAGTCCAAGAGGCATAACTTTGTCCAAAATGGCCAATAGTACCCAAAATAGATCTTAACCTAGATATCCGTATGATGAATTATTCAAAATTCTATTTCTGACACATCTGAAAAACAAGAGGCCCATGGGCCACATCGCTCACCTGAGAAGCTTTGACCATTCTGTTCTTTACTAGATTTCCCCCTTGTAATACATATTGTGACCCCACTGATCATAATTTAGACAATTGAATTTGAAATCTACACTACCCCTGGATGCTTCCACATAAGTTTCAGCTTTTCTGGTGCAATGATTCTTGAGAAGAAGATTTTCAAAGAGTTTTCCTATATATTTCTATGTAATACTTAGATTTCCCATTGTGGCCCCAACCTACCCCCGTGGGTCATGAATTGAACAATTTAGAATCTTCAATACCCAAGGATGCTTCCACATAAGTTTCGCCTTTTCTGGCCCAATGGTTATTGAGAAGAAGATTTTTCCTATATTTTTCCATGTAAAACTTTGATTCCCCATTGTGGCCCCGCCCTACTCCTGGGGGTCATGATTTGAACAATTTAGAATCTACACTACCCAAGGATGCTTCCACATAAGTTTCGGCTTTTCTGGCCCAATGGTTATTAAGAAGAAGATTTTCAAAGATTTTTCCTATGCATTTCTATGTAAAACTTTGATTCCCCATTGTGGCACCGACTTATCCCCATGGATCATAATTTGGACAATTTAGAATCTACACTACCCAAGGATGCTTCCACATAAGTTTCAGCTTTTCTGGCCCAGTTGTTCTTGAGAAGTAGATTTTCAAAGATTTTTCCTATATATTTCAATGTAAATCTTTGATTCCCCATTGTAGCCCCGCCCTACCCCCAGGGGTCATGATTTGTACAATTTAGAATCTACACTACCCCAGGATGCTTCCACATATGTTTCAGCATTTCTGGCCCAGTGGTTCTTGAGAAGAAGATTTTCAAAGATTTTTCCCTATATATTTCTATATAAAACTTTGATTCCGAATTGTGCCCTTGCCCTTCCCCCGGGGGTCATGATTTTTACAATTTAGAATCTAAACTACCCCAGGATGCTTCCACATTAGTTTCAGCTTTTCTGGCCCAGTGGTTCTTGAGAAGAAGATTTTTTAATGACCCACCATATTTTTGTCTTTTCTAGATTATCTCCCCTTGTGAAGGGACTTGGCCCTTCATTTTAACAATTTAAAGTTTGGTCAAAATTGGCCCAGTGGTTCTTGAGAAGGAGTCGAAAATGTGAAAAGTTTACGGACAGACAGACGGATGGACGGACAGACGGACACAATGTGATCAGAAAAGCTCACTTGAGCCTTCAGCTGAGGTGATCTAAAAAGAACAGATATGAATGGTAGATCGACAGACAGCTGCAAAGCAACACGCCTTCTTTCCTTCAAAGAGAGGCTTATAAATATGAAATGTAATAGTAAAACTAATAGTTATTTAGTGAAAGTTAACAAGTTAATGTAAATTAATCCATAATGACTATACGTCCGTGTACAAAGGTTAAGTGCATGTTCTATTGTATATTATTTATACATGTATGTACAAAGAACAGATACACTCACCACCAACACAGACACGTTTAAATATCATACCCAGTACACCTGTATGCTCAACAAGTGCAAAACAAACAATCTTTATCAAACATTTAACAAAAATTAAATGAATTTGCATGCATTTTTTTTTCTCCAAAAATTAGTTAATGGCAACAAAAATTGGAATTTAAATTCAGATAACAGAATAAACAACTTCGAATGAAATGCATAGGCGTCCATGACACCCCCTTCCTCTTTCCAGAATTTTGAATATAAGTAAAGGTTGATGTATTGCTGTATACAGGATCATTTGCAGTAATTTTCTTTAGAATTTAAACAATTTAGATTAGATGGATCTTTGTTTTGTGATTTTTCAACTTTGAATGAAGCATTATGTAGATCAATATGAATTGTATGGAAATGTGTTGCAAACAGAAATTTAGCAATACTGTATACAGGGTTATTTTCGCCCCGTGTTATTTTCGCCCTTTTGTGCTTGCCGACAATTTAGCCCCGTTTTAATTTCGCCCAGTCATAGTTCTCTTTAAGAAATTATGCTGTTTAATTTGAGTTCGCCCCGTTTTAAATTTGCCCAATCAAGAAGAGGGCGAAAGGGGCGAAATTAAAACGAGGGCGAAAATTTCCCTGTATACAGCAACTGTTATTGATCACAAAAATAAATATAATGGAATTTGATCTTGTGGCCTGAACAAAGATAAAAATTCAACATATACTGTATGCAGGGAAGTTTTCACCCTATTTTTTCCCTCTTTGCCCTACCCTTATTTGGATGAATTATAAACAGGCCTATGAAGTTACTATAGCAAATCCTATCACCTCTCTCTCTCTCTCTTTCTCTTTTAGGACAGTAATTATAAATCACAAGTGTTCTAAAATCTCCTAATAAGGTTTCCTCATTCTTAACTATTGAGAACGATTTAGTAAATATGGACAGGGGCAATTGATTCAATCTGTAAAATTATAATACCCCCCCCCCCTTCTCCTTTTGTCAGCTTAAATTTCGTATGTACTAAGGCCATCGTTAAATTTAGCTTGTAGCTGAATGTCTCGCATTTTTTTTCTTTCAGGCATGATCAATTCTGGCATGGGACCAAGCCACGTCAATTCATTCTTAACAGCCTGCGATATTCCACCCATCGACCATAAAACCATCGCAAAAAAGGAAAATATCATAGGCGATATTATAGAAAAGGAGGCCCAGAAATCCTGCACAAGGTCGCTGCAGAAGGAAGTGCAGATGTCTGACACACTGGAGTGCAGCTATGATGCTGGTTGGCAGACCCGTGGAGCAGGGTGGAACTACAACAGCATTTCAGGTTATATTTTACCCTCATCAGTTTGAGATCATAACAGTTATCTAAAATGATAAAAGAAATAATTACAGGTTACATAACAATAGGCCCATGGGCCACACTGCTCACCTTAGTAACCTTGGCCATGCTGTTCTTCACAAGATTCCACCTTTGTAATATCTATAGTGATCCCGCCATCTCCCAAGGGTCATGATTTCAAGAATCTACACTATAAGAATGCTTCTATATGTGTTTCAATTTTTCTGGCCCAATGGTTCTTGAGAAGATTTCTAATGATTTTCCTTATATACTTATATGTAATACTTGGATTCCCTATTGTGGTCCTGCCCTACCCTCAGGTGTCATGATTTATATAATTCAGAATCTACGCTACCCCTATCAATTATAACTCCTCTTTACCCAATAATGCTTTTTACCAAGTTTGGTAAAAATTGGCCAAGTAGTTCTTGAGAAGAAGTTGAAAATTAAAAGTTTACAGACGGACAGGCGACGAACAAAACTTAAAGGTGATCAGAAGAGCTCATTTTAGCTTTCAGCTAAGGTGAGTTGAAAAGGTACACAAAAGGTCTACGTGTAAAATTATCAACAGAATTGCTCAATTGCAAACAAAGATGTTAACTGCATGCATCTTTAATTTATAGTTATGTTTTCAAGTAAATCAATTGGCATTTTTTTTTAAAGATTTTTGAAATCTGTATGTAAATCATGTCCTGTGTGACAGATGACATAATAACCACTTACCACCATCTGTTAGCAGCTCAGCTAAATTTTTCTATCTTCAAAGTGAACGATAATTTTTTCATGATACAGGGCATGGGACACTGATTGGGAAGCAGACAGGTAAAATCCTGCAGTACGAGATCCGAAGCAAAAGCTGCAGTGTTTGTGATCACCATGGAGAAGGTGTGATACCAGTCCATCAGTGTTCAAAAAACTGGGATGGATCCAGCAAGGCCATGGAGCCTGATATGGCAGTGTCCATGCTGCATAAAATGAAAGACTGCGGCCACCCAGTACAAGTTATCCATGCTGACAATGACTCCACCACTCTATCTACGCTAAAATTGGACTTCCCTGAACTACAGAAGAAAGATGACAAAAATCATATAAAAAAAGGAATATCTAAAAAGCTTTATGCATTAGCTGCAAAATGGAAGGAACTAAAGTCACAATCATCAGTAATACCATACCTGGTTAGATGCTTTATGTACACCCTGTCCAGGGCTAGAACAAGCGACGATGTTCGAGAAGGTCTATCACAGATTGTACCTCACGTTTTTGGTGACCATGCGATGTGCAGTGACTGGTGTACTTTTAAAAAAGATCCAGATTTCAGGTATATAGAACGAAATTTATATTGCATTCATAAACAAGTGGCCCAGGGTCCACATTGCTCACCTGAGCAATTAGCTAGGAAAAAGCATATATCAGATCAGAACTGAAAGTTTACTGGGGAATGGGGATGGAGGGGGCTTGAATTTTAATCCCCCTGGGGGGGGGGGGGGGGGTCATGATTTGAACAAACTAAAATCTACACTACCAGAGGATAATTCCTTAAAAATATCACTAAGCATGGCTTTGAAGTACTTGAAAAAAAGATTTTAAACAGTTTCCCTATATACTTCATATGTAAAACTTTTATCGGCCATTTGGCCCCACCCTACCCCCGGGGGGTCATGATTAGAACAAACTTGAATCTACAATACCTAAGGATGTTTACACAGGAGTTTCATCTTTCCTGTCTTAATGGTTCTTGAGAAGAAGATTTTCCTATATATTCCTATGTAAAACTTTGATCGGTCATTTTGGTCCCACCCTACCCCGGGGGGGGGGGGGGGGGGGGGGCTGGGGGTTTATGATTTGAACGAACTAGAATCTACACTACCAGTTATGTACCCCACCCCACAGGAAGCACTGAACCTGGGGCCACAAATTTCAAAATTTTGGCAATTTTATCATAAATTTGAAAAGTTTACAAAAACGCCAATGACAACAACAACGACAGACATCGGACAAATTTTGATCAGAAAAGCTCACTCGAGTCTTCGGCTCATGTGAGCTAAAAATGATACCTTAAATTCCTTAATTCTTTAATATATGTTCTTCAAGTTAAAACGAATACTAATTTTACATGCACGCATATTTTATCATAACAAAAACATAATAAGAACGAAAAAAATTCCAGGTTTAAACACCTACCAAATGGGCAGCAGCTCAAAGCAGATGGTCTAAGACAGGCCCTTGAAGAAATGGTTGAAACCTACAAAAAGAGAGCGGATCAACTGGTTAATATGGGGTCAACCCAATCAAATGAAAACTTCAACTTCGTTGTTTCCAGCAAAGCTCCAAAGAATAGGTTTGTATATTATCTTTTTTTTTTAATAAAAAAATACACATTGAAGTCTTTGTGCCAATGCTAACTAATAAGATCATAAAACAGAAGAAGTCCATGGGCTTATTTCAATGAATTGGAATTCCCTTGACCTAAAAATAATACCCTAATGCAGAGATACAAATAGGCGACTAAACAAGTTAATAATTTTTACACTGAGTATTACACTACGAGGGTTGTCCCATAAAATCGTGGACAAAGCGTTTTTCTCGAAAAGTAATGGGTGCACTAAGCTGAAATTTTCAGTAAATGTTTATTTATCATATTTAAGTGCATGCTAATTTTTTTGATAAAATATAGGCAAAAATAAAGATTTTATTATGCTTGAATGTGCACGGGGTATTGTCCTACGGCGCACGGACAAAAAACCAAGGTTTTATTAAAGAATACACAAGTTAGAATTCAAAATAAAAGTTTTAAATACTTAAGATTTGGATTAAAATTATACTTATTCAATTCCACAATCAATTTTGTAGTCTTTGTAAAAAATTTAAGGCATTTGGTTAATTTTTGGCAGTTTCTCGAGCATTCGAAATGGGAAAGTGGTAAACACAACACACGAAAAATGGCGACGTTTTATGACGTTACGGCGCACCAGAGAGCAGTTCCGTTTTAATTCGATGTTGTAATGACACATTTAGAGTCTTGAAATGACCATAGAAGAAAAAAAGATTATAAAAATATCACCATAACTTAACTATACAAATGAAATAGGAGTTTTCTTAGCGAAGACTTTTTTGATCGAGTCCGTGGGGGGGGGGGGGGGGGGTACAAAACATACGGACAAACTCTTAATGTAATAGCAAAAGACGCTGTCACAGTAGACCGCCGATATGAGATTTTCTATTAGTTGAATGATGGTGAGAATATTGTCCGTAACTTACTGATAAATCTTCAGAAGATCGCATGAGGGTGCCAACTGGTTCTTCGATTGTTTATGGAGACTAAAGAATGTGTATCAATGAAATTCCTAAATTTCAGTCGGACTCATCCAATTTCATTTTTAGCAAAGATAAAACGTGACGCTGTTTTAGACATTTTGACGTTGTAATCCATGCGCCGTAAGGTGATACAATACATGGCATAAAATCGTATAATTTGTTTATTTATCCATACATTTATCTGTAATTTGTTGTGTATATTACTAAAATATGTACTAAATAATAGTGAAAATCTAAGAAAGCTGTGATGTTTATTTTTTACACTAGACAACTTGTCCACGATTTTACGGGACAACCCTCGTATGTAAAATATAATTTATACCTACCAAAAAATATTTTTCAGATGTTATGGGCGATCACGATCCTTAACGCATAGGGTATCTGCTGCAGTTCTACAAAAAAATGAAGGACATACTTGGATTAATAAGGTATTTTATATATTTTACACGCATATTGTCCAAAATCATCAAAAATTATATCCCCTTAAACCTATTTTCTAAAAAATACATCTGTAATCAAAATTTTATGTTTTTTTAAAACATTGTTCTTAAAGGTATGTCAAACTGCATCACTATCTCCTGGACACTATTCAAACATTCTTGGCAAACGTTTGGACAGAAAACGCCTCTGGCAAAACACACGTCAAAAGCTAATAAAAACTAAAAAGAGACGTCTGGAACTAAAGAAAAAGAAATCCTCAGCTGCTTCTCTGAGCACAGTGCGAGAGGGTACAATTTATTCCGAAAATATTGAACTCAGTTCATCAGAGGTAAATACCTGCATCATTCCATCAAGTCCAAAACTGAAAGGAACAGAGAACTTTATTCACTTTGACTTAGAGACAACTGGACTGGAACGTACCTCCGATATTGTTCAATTATCTGCTGTGTGTGGAACAACCGTCATGAACAGATATGTAATGCCCAGAAAGAAAATGTCCCTTGCTGCTAGTAAAGTAACCGGAATCAGAGTCTCTCTACACGACAACCAAATGTTCTGCAAAGGTGAGAAAGTCGAAAGTGTTACCATTCAAACAGCTCTCCTGGACTTTATCGAGTTTTTAAAAGGCTTTGAAAATCCTGTGTTAGTTGGACATAACATTTTGAGTTTTGACATTCCTGTCCTTCTTCACAAACTTTCAGAATTTCATCTCAAGAAAGAATTTCTTTCAACAGTCCATCTCTGCATAGACACACTGAAATTAGCAAGAAGATTATTCAAAAAGGACATTGTGGGAAATTATAAGCAGCAAACCCTAGTTTCAGTCCTCTTGAACAAGGAATATGCAGCTCATGATGCAAAGGAGGATGTTATGCTCTTACAGGAACTTTTTTTGGGAGTACTCAAAGACAAACTGTCTAAAAATGATTTGTGCAGTATCGATTTCAAGGACCTATTCGCAACATTAACACCGTTAGTTGAAAACAAGTGTGTTTCTTCAGTGAATGCCAGAAAACTTGCACAGCAAGGTATTGGTCTTTTCCATTTGCAGATTGCAGAGCAGAGAGATTCATCTTCAGGCATTGAAACTATTCTTATAGGTGCATCTCTGAGCAGAAAAGCAGCATTGAAAATCTGTCAGTATTTGAAGAGAGAACAATAATGTGTTAAAAATTACTGGAGCTAATGAGCATGATTTTAGGACTCAATCTTTTCATTGTTATGAAGTATATGAAATACTGATACTTTTTTCTATGTGAATGTTATCGTGGTACTGATGGCTTGACATGACTGCTTATTTCGTTTTTGTCAAGATTGACATAACATATGGCATTGCATGTGATTGTTGGTTTTTATTTATAATCAAAATACACATTGTATCAGTGAGCTACATGTATTCTTATTATGCGCAACAATTAACATTTTATAATCACTCTAGTATTTTTGTTATGGATAATTGTTAAAGGAATGTTCTGGATAACCAAGTTGTCTTTCAAATTGTGCCACTACCTGGTAGTTTTACCCAGCTGAAACTATGAATGTACTGGCCAAATTATTCTTTGGAGAAAATATTTAGGACATATTTAGTTAGAATTGCTTCCAAAATGTACCTCCTATTTTAAAAAAGTACCTCCTGTTTCTTATCTTTTTATCATATTTTTACTTAGAGTTTTAATGTCCTATCAAAACTAGAAAAGTGTCAATGGATAGAGAAAGAGAATTGTGTAAGCTACATGTACATGTAAGTTATACTACAGTTAATATGGTTAAAACTTTAAAGGCTCCTTTCATAATAAGACTTTCCAGCTTTCTGTTATCTAGGTCATTTTTGTACTTTTGATTAAAATTGGCTTAATATTATCACATGACATTTTATTATTATTTTTTTGGGGTGGGGGGGGGGGGCTTTGCATATGCCGATCTCTGATAGGGTTGTTTTTAAAAGCACTTGTGTGTGAACAATAATAGACTGTAAATTTTATTATATCATTTGTATTCTCATATTCTCCTAATTTATAGTAAGTTTAAGATTAATCAGATCATTTTCATAATGAGCAAAGCTTAAATGATCCCCATATTTCAATATTTTATTTGTCAGTTTGTGATAATTTTTTGCTACCTTCTTATTACTCAGTGATTTACTTGTCAACTGAATTTATTAATATAACAATTAGATATGTTCTGATAAATCACATTTCATCAATAAATATATGTATTTAATTTTAAATAATGCTTATCTTTTATTTTCTTGGTACTGTATTATACAGGATTATTTTTGCCCTTTTACACTTTCTTACAAATTTACCCCACTTTGCCCAGTCCCACTTCCATTTTAGAATTTATACATGTACTGTGTTCTTTGAATTCACCCCATGTTGAATTCTCCCACTTGTGACAAGAGCGAAAGGGGCAAAAATGAAACAAGGGCCAAAATATTCATGTATACAGTAATTAAATTGACACAATTAAGAATTTGCATGCATAATTTAGTTTCTGTTTGAGAGCTAGTATACTCTTTATATTTAAACAGAGACCTACTTAGGATGAACTAGGACAAAATACTCTGGGTAGTGGTAATTAAATTCACTAAAATTTACTTAAACATGTTAAAAAAAATAATGTTGAGGTCACCCTGTAATCCACAAAATAATTTAATTAAATCTGTTTTCTTGGCAATAAACAATAACTATCATCTCCATTAAAAGATGTTACCCTTCATTGCCAATAGTGCTGATGTCTACATTGAGTTATCTACAGTTCCTCAGTCTCAGTTGGATTTAGGTCACATGGTTGGACTAATTAGGTCTAGATAAGTAAGTCGTGCATTTCCAGTTTGCCAACAGTCTCTGACAGACCTTTAAATAGATAGAAGCTGACTCCAAAACATTTTCTTCCATTCTCTCTCCAGGATTAAACTATTCCAATTTTACAATTAACAATCCCAATCTTGATCACTTCAAGAATGTTTGAGAAAATTCATATCATGTTCACACATGATTGATTAGAAATAAAGATTTGACATCAATTTTCTCAGGGAAAAATGCGGCATGCTTGCAAATTAACTGTACCGGTAAGGCCTAAAAATAAAATAAAACACTTTTCCTACCTAGACTAGCTAAATTTTTCTCCAGTTGGAATGCGAAACATGCTGTTTATTCATCTTGGCCTTACCAGTAAATATTACAAAAGTTTATAATTGCTATTTTAGTGAGATAGATCAAACTGACTATGGTTTGGACAAACATGTAAAGAGACCTAGGATTGGAAAACTTATCTGTTAATTTTTTCAGTTGAATAAATCTGTTTTAGCATAATACTAATTTGTCTCAATATCAGTGACTTTTTTTGTATTTAGTCAAAACCCCATCTTTATCATTGGACTTGATACCTGGTGGGGCATGTGTAGTTTGTTATATGTCATAACTTAAGATTAAGGAAAAAGTAATAAACATGACTGGCATTGATAGAAAGATTCTAGACCTGCAACACAAGAACCACTGAACCATGGGCGGTTTGCCCTAGCCTTTTATTCAGAATTCTCCAAAAAATATATAATAACAATTTAATTTCTTTTTGCTCTCTGTGACTTTACATTTCAATTCTTTAATCTTTTCTTTGATTGAATATTTAATTAACAATATTTAAAACTAAGTTATAAATTGGTGTATAAAATTAATGGTACTTTTAGTTTGTCCATTTGTGCAAAATATCTGATTTTGACATGGTACCTTTTTTTGCTCTGCAATGAATTCATCTGCAAGCTATGGCAATATCTGGATTTTTCACCCATAACATTTCTGAAATCACAATATAATATGCATTAAAACATATTAAAAAACTTGCAAGTTTTAAATAATATGATTTCAGATTTTTTTTCTTTTCTAGCTGCCCTTATAAGTATAAAAAAAAGACAAGATATATTTGTGAAACACTTTGCATCCAGTGGCAACAAAGTTTGAAATAGCTAATTTTAGCATATAGGTTACAGTCAAGGTCACCAGGTCGTTGACCTTGCTGTCACTTGAAAGAACATTATTAGTGGAGTATGCATACTAAATATAAAGTCTCTTTCTCTTATGTTTCAAAAGTTATGATGAAAAGTCGAAAAAGCTATTTTTAGCATACATGTCACGGTCAAGGTCTCAAGGTCATCGAACTCGGTGCCATTTGAAAGAACTTTATCAATGGAATATGTATACCAAATAAGAAGTCTCTTCCTCTTAGGCTTGTGGTTCAAAAGTTGACAACAGACAGACAAAGACAGGACAAAAACAATAAACAACCTGGATCTATTGAGCCGGACGCATAAAAAAAATTAATTCTCAGATGATGCTCTGAAATCATGGAAATTAAATGTAATACTGTACAGGGGGTTAATTTCACGGGTTGTAATTTTCACGTTTTTCTCTTCTTTGGCACAATCACAGTTTCTTGAATTCGCGGAATTGGTATACATTGAAAGTTTCCTCCCTAATCTATACCTATTGAAAACTTATTCACTGTTTCTTGAATTCACGGATTCATTAACACCGTGAATATAGCGAATATTAACACCGCGAGTTATTTTCCCCCCATACAGTAAACAAAAACTACTCCTAAAAATTCATATCCATGATGTCTTTCATTTTATTATTCCAAACCATAATAATTTGAATTCTTCTTGGAAAATATAAAATATAATGAGATCAAATTCATTTATTCAGAAACTGACAGCCACTGTACTTGTTAATAAACAGGGATTCATCTAGGTTTTTGGGGAAACTACCCTTTCTGGAGAAATTGGGAAAATCATCCGGGGTCTGGGAACCACTAAAGTGAGTGCAGGGCCAGCCCTGCTTGGGGGGTAATTGAATTTCAGCATTTTTATGACCATTTAAAGCACATAAAGTAGCAATTTAAAGTAAAATCATTTTTCTCAAATACTGAAAAATTAAATTACTTTAAATTCTTACTTTTTATGAAGGAAAAATTATATTTGAAGTTTTTATTATTGTAAGGGGAATATTTTACTCATCAAAGGGGGGAAACTAGATCCTGAGGGGAAATTTTCTCTAGGGGAAAAACACCCATTATCGGTAGTAAATATGCCCTAGATTAAACCCTGATAAACCACTTCAACAATCAAACAAATTATTCCCCTTTGCGGGGATAACATCCATTCAAGTCAACCAGCATGGAGCTCTGTTTTTCCATCTATAATGATCTATATTAATATTAATATTGACCAAACTTCGGGGTCAGTATTTAGAAATAAAATATGTTTGAATATGTTCATTACGTTTCATGTTGCCCCATACCCTGGCAATATAGGCACGAATCGAAATATCCCGATAATGTCTAAATATTAAAATAGAAGCGTTACGCCGAGAAGAAGAAAACTCTTCGGATATTATTACAATGCATTATTTTGGAGTTAATGTATAAACTATAATTCGGAAATATATTTAAAAAATTGAACACTTCCTTTAAAAAAAAGAATGATCTGTTCAAATTTACTTCTCATTTCATTTCATACTTACCCTAATTTTCATCAAGAAGACTGGACTGGCGCTGTGCGTGTCGGCTGCTAAAACATTCTGCATGTGGTAGGCCTAGTGGTGGGGCTATTTGGCTATGTCTTCACCAAATATCGTTCAATTGAAATAAAAACCGAAGCATTTTGTTATGTCGACTAGTTTTCATGAATGGCTACTAGTCTGAGTGCATTGTTTGATTGATTTGATCAGTAAATTTGCTTTCCCTTCTTCTCTTCACGCATTTTTTCCCGGAGCACACCAAGCGCATGCGCAGTATCGGTTTACAGAATATTGCTAACCTCGAACCCGAAGACTATTATGCTTGTAACTTTTGAAAACTAATATTTGGCCGTACATCCATTAAACATAAAACATTATAATTTAAACCATAGTCATTATTGTTTCATCAGTGAAAATTTTCATGTTTAAAGCGACTCTAAGAACGAATTCCTAAAAGTATGGATATTAGAGAGATTTTTCAAATAAACATTTTTCAGGGGATTTGGTGTAAAAATGTAAAATTCTCTTGATATATGCCCGCTGCCCCACTTAATTTTTATTCCATATAAGGGGAAAACAATTGGAAAATAACGTGTTAAATTTTAAAAGAAATCTGTAGTTAGAATATCAAGCAGCAATTTATTTTTACTTGTAATGAATTTCATAATTTTGAGCTAAATATGATGAATTCGCCCTAAAAAGTACAATTAAATGGATCAGCAGATGTAAAAATTAATTAAACCCTTAAACAAGCATATCCTCTCTACAATTTATGTGTTAAATATTTTTATTTGCCTTTAATTTTAGAAAGCTAGCATAAATTACTTAATTCTTTCATTTTTGTAATTTCTCGAGACAATGTCTATTTTTAGTAACAGTCCTAACAAAAGGAGGCCCGGTCGACCTAAAAATTTACGCAGATATGAAAAGGACAAATACTTAATTAAAATTCTGAGAAGTTTAAACAAAATCTGTAGCTTCGTTATTCCTGTAGCATGGTATGGATCTTTACCTTAAAAAAGATATTCAAAGCCTAATTTAAAAGAAAATTTAAGGAATTATTTTTGTGCATACCCAAACTAGTCGTTCGATAAAAAATTATCAATACTAAGCTTTATCGAAGCAGTCCTTCCCACATGCACGTATGTGCTGGAGTGTTAATTGAGATCTGTATGAAAGAGAAGAGTCAAATATTAATTAAATGTGAATAAATATCTCCTCCAATTTGATTTGTTTAAAAACATATTCAGGGCAGTAATTGAATTAAGCATACCCAAACTAGTTGTTCGATAAAAAAAATTATCAACACATAGCCTTCTCGAAGGAGCCCTCCTTAATAAATATTTCATCTAGTTTGATTTTATTAAAATGATATTCAAGGCACTAATTAAAAAGAAAATTGAAGGAATTTTTTTTTTTGCGCATACCCAAACTAGTCGTTCGATAAGAAAAATTATCAATACATAACTTTGTCGAAAGAGTCCTTCGACAGTATTCCTTGATTTGCGTGAAAGAGAAGTATTCATATATAATAGTTAAATTTAAATTAAATATTTCATTCAGTCTGTTCTTAATTTCTTTTCAAAACACTAAGAAAGGAAGGTTGATAATCATATTTTTAATTGTATTTCAACAAATTGACTAAGTTTATTTTGATTGGATAACTTGCTAGGCACCACAATGTGTTGCACTGCATTGCAGCAGAGTGCAGTATGGTGCAGTTTTACTTGTTTTTCAACAAGCACAAACATTTTACTAGTCAATGCTTTAGATACATCCCCCACCATCCACCCTCCAAAGTTGCCCTTTAAATACAATTTTCTCTTGCAGCTAATTCTGAGTTGCAAAATTTGCATAATGTAAGTTTCTTACAAAGTTCGATAATCAAATTATGCCCCTTTGAACAACGTAGACAAAACGATTATGCAAATGTTCAGGCAAAACTAAAGAATGACAGGCTTGTATACTATATAAGACTAGAGAGTCACTCACTTATTAGCAATGTTAAGTTTAGTCTTACATGTATTGTGAGTTGATCTCCCTTAACAAGTACTGCTATCTGGCGAGGCAGTACAGAAATTAAAGCGCCTTTGATTGTGCTACAGAGCAATTAATTGGGCGCTTTGTTTGATTGAGTGTCAACCTGTTCACTCATCTGTCAAACAGGAAAAGTCGTATTTCTTTTAATGTTAAATTTGATAAAAATAGACCATGTATGTTTTAAGTAGACACTACGTTAAGCAATCACAATGAGATGCATTGCAGTGCAATGATATCTTTATTTTAGAGCATCAATTTGGTTTCCTAAACTTTTTAAAAAAAGAAAAATGAATTTTAAAAAGAGTTTGTTTCAACCTTATCTTTAATATAAGAAAATAGAGTAAAAGAAAATTGGACTTGTTAACCTTTGATTGGCATTACAATTTGTACAGTGCAATATAAGTGTAGGTAAATTCCTACTAAGATAAGAGGCATTTATATGCGTGCAAATCAAAATTAAATGACTCAATGGTCACAGAGGAGTTTATTTCTTCAGTTTATTTTACAATTACTCAAACTAGTCGCTCGATAAAAAATTATTAATACGCAGTTTTGTCGAAAAAGTCCTCCGACATATACACATAAGTGCTGGAGACTGTTAATTGAGATTTGTATGAAAGAGAACAGTCACATATTTTAAAATGACATCAATTCAAATAAAAAGTATTTCATCTAGTTTGTTTAAAAAAGATATTCAAAGCCTAATTTAAAAGAAAATTTAAGGAATTATTTTTGTGCAGGTAAGGTCTTCCCCGGAAGGGAGGGATTTTTCGCAATGACGACGGATGATCATGATGTTATCACAAGTATGGCTCACACCGTGAAGCTGACCCAGAGAGCAGC